CAAGTCATCTAGCGTTTTAAAGAGCACCCAGGGGACCTGCCAAGTGGAGGAGCTTCCTGCTCTATTTGGCCATGTGTCCCCCCCACCACCATCACCGACCTGCATCATCCTCAACCACTCTACTGACACCTAGTGGCTGTGTGTTCTTATTACACAGTTTTATAACATGAAAAAGGCCCTGCAAAGATGACAGGTTATGGACCCTGCTCATGGGCCCAACGGTGGTATGATTATACTCCTGGCCATGGGATTTGAACCCACAACCTTCCGGACACAGGTTCAGTGCCCTAACCCACAGAGCTGCATCCCCCACCCCTACCACATCTTAGCCCACGGCATGCGGTATTCTGCTTTAAATGACACTTCTGAAGAATTGATCTGCTGGCAATTTTTTTCAGAAGCTGTTTCGACTTCACTTCTACAGCCCAGAACTTTCTCAGTGTAACATTCATGCTCTCTGTGTGTCGTTTGCTTATCTGGAGCAAAACCAGAAGTACTGGGATGTTCTTATGAACCCAGCAATGTTACTGACTGATAATAGCAGTCGGTCTACCTAACCAGAACCTTCCAGCTGGGGAGTTTATGCCACAAACTCACTGCATTGGACCCTGTACTGGTTAAGCAGCAGAAAGGTGGAAGGATGTAAGAATTAAGGTGTTGCTCGGTGCTCTGTCTACGGAATCACATCTCTCACTGTCCAGGCTGGTAGCCAGTAGTGAGGTAAGCTGCCACTCAAACACGAGGTCTGGGGCCACCTGGGGGCCGCAAACAGTCACTACTCTAAATACTAAATAAACGCGTTCCTTATTCAAGACATACAATGGCAGCACGTTCTGCTAACCAGTCAGCTAGATATTATCTTAGGAGCTATTTAGTGTCTGAAATATATGAAGTACCACACAGAAGAACACTGCCCCTGAATGAGGTCAACAGATGCACACGTTCGCGAGTCTGCTCACCATAACCGGGACTTCAGCTCCGCATTTTCGTAGAAGGTCAGCGAATGGCGACAATGAGGGATACGGACCCGGAGGGTGGGGGATTCCGGACTGACATTCACGGCGCGTCGCGTTGGGGAGGCTGGATGAAACGCGGCGGGAGGAGGGCAGGACGCCGCTATAAATAAGGTGTCCGGAATCAGAAGAGTATTATAACTAAGGGTGTGCTTATCCTGATAACGACCTGATAATGATAATGGTCATACGGCATTATGCGTCATTAAATGTTAACAGCTAATATAATATTCCGAGAAAAGTATCGGCTTACGAAACAAAAGGCTCAAAACCATAAGAAGCCGGTCTGAACAGGATAATTTTTCAATATGCGTGCGCTTCACGCCACCGTCGGGAACTCTATGTATTACGTCACAGCGTGTTACATAATTGATATGCTCAGCTAATATTCGATATGCGATTCCAGGAAGCCCTTTGTATGTTTCGCAGGCGAGGAGTAGCGCTGTGGTCAGTGTTAACCTGGCAAGCCTGTGGTTCTGCCAGCGGACTATATTACTTTAAGGCTGGGGTCTCCAGTTCCGGCCCTGGAGAGTTACTGTCCAGCCGGTTTCCTATCCTGGCTGGCTTCAGATGAGCCACACCAGTTCTCAGGTGAATACCAGGAAAAGGTGTGACTTATCAGAAGCCAGATAGGGTAGAAAACCTACTGGACAGTAGCTCATGAAGAAGTTGGACACCCCAGCTTCAAGGTGTTACCGTGTCTTGTCATATGTCTTGTCAATTAAGAGCAACAACTGCACGCTGCTCCCCGCTGGTGTAGCCACTGACCAGAGCGACAGCATTAGCTGCAAGCCTGATCTGAATGTTAGCGAGGTCATGGCGATTACCAGGCCTGTGGTTAGCTTTGCTTTTTGAAAGAACACAGGCAAGACAGACACAGGTGAGAGAAGGAACGAATGCTCATCGGGGAAACACCCAGGGAAGAAATGAAGCAGGGAGGGGAAAGGGGGATGTGTGAAGTGAGCAAAGAGTGGGCGGTGAAGAAGAGGGATGTGATCTGTGTAAGAGGACAGAGGAGAGAGATGTGAGCTCTCAGCCTTCATCATGAGGGCCTCAGTGGCCACATGGGGGAATCAGAACCTCGGGGAGAATCAGGATCTTTCATCAGCTCGCAGGCTCTCTATCTACGGCCGGCTGTGGTCAAGGCACCACTCTCCAGTTCTCATTATGCCTGGATGGGTTGCCTGGCCGGGGACAGCTGGAAATTGAGCCCCCTCCCCCGGAGCCAGGTTTTCCTTGCCGTGGATCTCATATAGACTGTCAAGAGATCAGGACATTTTTATTTGTTAAAAGCCTAGACAAAGCCATTGCTCTCTGCCTTCTCCTGCCTTCCCGGCTATCACAGGGCCGGAGGTGTCGTTATTAAATTCTCAGGCAATAACAACAAAAACATATATAATGCCTTTGCAGTAGTATTCACGCCCTGCGAGCGTTTCTCGAACGCTGCCAGATTATGAAAGATAGACGCGTGTTTGTCAAGTGATGATGCTTATTCTCAAAGTGACACTCAAATATGATGCTGAAATCCAGAATTAATGATTATTCTGCATATAACGGGCACATAGTAATCAGTTATTCCACTTAGGAATAGGATCTGACCATATAAAGCCCGAAAAGATGTATCGTTTTACACGTTAAATTTAGATGTTTTTACCACAAAACCTTTCATTCCTAATTTAGAAACTGAACCTTCCAGGAACTGAACTGTCTCAAGGAACAAAACCTCAAATGAGTAGCTTTGAGTGTATCACTGTAATTATCATTTATTATTAATCATTATGCTATCAGTAGACAGAGCCATTAGCGGTCATACAACCATGAAGAGCTACATAAGCATATTAAACAATGAATTAACAATGTTGCCTATGCATCAGAAGAGGACCTGTGAGACAGCAGGAGGCACGAAGAGCCCCAGACCTTAAATGGCTGCCGACATCCATCCTCCTGACTCTCTGCTGCAGTGTTTCTGAGGCCTGGTTGTAGTCCACCCTGGCAGGAAATGGTGGATCCCAACCATTGTGGGACAAGCTATAGGCTTGGCTCTAGAGATGCCAACCATTAGGGATTCATATGGAAAGCCGGCCAGCTGGTAGCTGTGAAGAGGCTGAGGAACGTGGTGAGAAGCTGATCTGAATGGCCACCACACCCTTCAACAACTGTGGGAGTTCTGAGCGTACTATTGGTATAATGAATACACGGAATGTATAGGACTCTCATAGGAACGGTGCTAGCCAACCCCATTGGACGACACAGGGGGCCGGCTTGGGTGCCATCTACAGAGCGGGGGCCGACGTAGTGTCACTTTGTGTGGGGCAGGGGGCGCGGCGGTGAAGCACACCTAGGGCAGCACGTGGCCTTTGGCCAGGCTTGCATAGGAACACAGAATAATCAGAAGCTCTGTCTTCAGGTAGAGCTGGGAGAAAAGGATTTGGTACTTAGTCCAGACTGCTGCAGCGAGTATGTGGCCTAGTATCTAATAGTTTTAGTGCTATTGACAGAAAATTAAGTTATAAGACAAAGTGAGATCCCAGTGATGTCCCCTGGTCTCCGTTATCATAATTAGTGTATCAGGTCTGGATCTGTAGCCTGGGGCAGGCTGTCGGCCAGCCCGCTTTGTGTGTGTAGATATGCCTGCTGGTCCCTTCCTGAGGAGGCCTGCCGTTTTCTGTCGAGGGAATGACTGGACCCTGCAAAATGCTTACATGAACCACACGTTTGCCACTGCTGACCCACCATGTTAAACGTGGTTTTACTTATGTACTTAGTTGCCATCTACAATGTATCGTTAGTTTCCATTGTAACCGACTCAAAAGAATCTTAAACGAACAGAAGCTGAAAAAATTCCAAGGATTATTTAGACTTACACTGAGTCTGGGAAATTGGTGTAATCCTCTTTCTGAAAGAAAGAAAGAAAAAAACAGACAAAGGAAGATAAAAAGTTTATGCAAGGTTTGCATAAACAAGGCATGCTGTTCCTAACAGCAACAGCTCTGCAGAGGAGGACGGGTGCGTGTTATGGCTACATGTTATGTTGGTGTAACCTTGGCAGGCTGGCTGTCTGGGGGCTGTTTGTTTACTGTGATGTGCGATTGTGCAATATGAGTGTGTGTGTGTGTGTGTGTATTAGACACTCAGATGGTTAGAGGCTGACAGATGGAGTAACACTCATCTAACCAATCAGGACATGGGGGGGGCATGGATGGGATTGGAGTGGATTAATAACTCAAAGAGATAAAGCGTGAGATTACGGGTCAGCAGATGCATGCTGTTGTGGTTGTTCTCCTGCCAGGCGTGTAACGCATCATCTCCGTGGTTTTATGAAAATTTTCATATCTTAATCATTCAGAGGAGACTGTTATCCCGCATGATTCACAAAGCTGGGGGTCTTTAATACATCACATTGTGATACAGGCATGGAGTGGATGCAATTTCCTCTAATGCATCTGGAGCAACAGTTGCCCCTTTCAGGAATCCGGCTAGTTGTTTTAGTCACATGTTTGGTTTCTCCTACTGCCCACACGTCACTATCTGTGTGCATTTAGAGTGTGTGTGTGTGGGTAGGGGGGGAGGTAACCCACAGCTTCACACATACAATGGACCCACACACAGCACAAAGAAAAAGGTCCTATGAAGGTGGACTGGAGAGGCCCTGAACCGGAGTGGAGCCACGAAACCCCATCTGACACTGAGCTGGTAAGCGGACACCCTGGGCTGGGCCAGGCGACTCCTAGCGCCCATAGGTGAGGGCTCACGTTTCCCAGCGTGCCAGGAGACGGCGGGGGGATCTGCCACCTGCAAAGGCTGGAGAGGCCCAGCAACAGAGAGCGCAACCTGGGGGGAGAGGAAAAACAAGAGTCTGCATCTGTGACGGCCACATTAACTGGGCGCAAAGGGAAGAACAAAGGGAAGGACAAAAGCCCCCCACCCCCCCCACTCCACACTCATTGCTGTCATAGATTCCCTAAGTACAGGATCACTCTGCTCTGGACGGCTTAGAGACATCTAGGGGGCTAATCCAAGATGCACTTGATTAAGAGTGCTAAACAAACACACAGCCGATTTTGTTAGGTAGGTAAGGCGTGGAAAAGTTAGGGGAGGGGACAGAGAGAGAGAGAGAGAGAGAGAGAGAGAGACAGACAGAGAGAGAGAACACAAGATAGAGGGAGGGGGAGTGAGAGAGGTGAGAAAGCAGAGCTACATCCATCTTCCTTTATCATCACACCAGGGTTTCTCATTAGCAAATCAGGGGCTCAGTAATCCAGCAGGAGAGGGAGGGAGGGAGGCAAGCAGAGCAGGAGAGAAACGGCAGGATCCGCGTGACGTCAGCGGCGCCAGGGATTGAGGTGTTGAGTCCTGCTGATTTATCCGAGCTGATAAGGAAAGAGAAAAAAGCAGGAGCCCGTGGAGGGTTCCCGGGAGAATCGGGAGACGGACAAAAGGAGGAAGCTAAAGAAAGAGAGAAGCTAGAACTCAAGAACATTCAAGACAATCCAAACTTAAGGACAAGGGCAACCGAGTGCAACACATGTAAGTATAAACCCTTCAGAGGACTTACAGGATGATAAAGGAGGGGATGCTATTATTATTATTATTATTACTATTCGCTAATATTTTCAGCCATTTCTTTCTACTCCTGGTGCTAACCCCTCGCCTCCCATCCCTAATCTCCCCAAACCTCCTGTAATCCAGCAGCCTACGAAGTTAGACCAAGATGCCCATGAACGGGATAAACAAGGCGCTGAAACTGCAGTTCGGGCTCATCAACCACGAGAATCGCTACCTGACGGCGGAGGCCTTCGGATTTAAGGTGAATGCGTCCGCGACCAGCATGAAGAAGAAGCAGATCTGGGTGCTCGAGCAGGATGAGAACGACAGCCAGGTGATATACCTGCGGAGCCACCTGGGTCGATATCTGGCCTCCGACAGGGACGGGAAGGTGAGCTGCGGAGCGGAGAAGCCGGAGACGGATTGCCGCTTCCTGATCGTGGCACAGTCAGATGGCCGCTGGGCACTGCAGTCTGAGCCCTACCAGCGATACTTCGGAGGCACAAAGGATTACTTGTCTTGCTTTTCCCAATCCATTGGCGAACCGGAGCTATGGGCCGTACACCTGGCGCTGCATCCACAGGCTAACCTGTTAAGCATCAGCCGCAAGCGCTACGCCCACCTGGCCGTGTCTGACGATGAGATCTCTGTCGACAGCAACATCCCTTGGGGTGTGGATTCCTTGCTCACTCTTGTGTACCTGGAAGGCAAGTACTGCCTGAAGACATGTGACAACCGCTTCCTTAATCACGATGGCAAGCTGGTGATGCAGAGTTGCCAGGGCACGAGCTATACCCTGGAGCTCAAGTCTGGAAAGCTGGCCTTCAAGGACTGTGAGGGGAAGTACCTCAGCCCTGTGGGCCCAACTGGAACCTTGCGTTCTGGACGCTGCTCTAAGCCCGGCAAAGATGAACTGTTTGACTTGGAGGAGAGCCGTCCACAAGTGGTTTTCCAGGCAGCTAACAACAGATTTGTCTCAATACGACAAGGTAAATAGCTCATCTCAGATCTTGTAGTTGCTGGGTCAAAGTACTTCTCTGTAAGGTCTTTGTAAAGACTTTTCAACTAAGAACCATGTATCTGTAGATTTTTTAATTAGTATTTTCATAAATAGCAATTTAGGTTCTTGGCCAGATGTAAGCATACAAATTTTATTTGAATAATAAGTCAGCAGGTTATCGTGCAGTAATTTGGATTTGTTTGTACTGAACCGCAAGCTGAGAATCTGTGCACATGACTTCATGTTGCAATTAGGGACCAAGGTCGACTGTATGGTCGAAGGATCGATCACACATGAAATGCAGGACGCTGACAGATATGTCTTGTGGCCCTTGTTGTTTCGCCCAGTCTTTCTGTGATGACTTTACGTTCATGTATGCATTCCACTAAACGCTTGCTTCTACGGCGGCATGATATAACCACTAAATGTTTTTGACTCGTTCCACCACATCTCCGATCCAGTGGTGTCAGTTTATGGGTGATCTGTCACGTCGAAGCATCGTCATCCTTCCATTTATTCATTTGCGCTACTCTGTAAGATTTCGTCTTACGCAGTAGACACAGTGCGAGGACAGCACTAAGCTGTGCATTACCCCGTCTGAAGCTATTGGCAAAGAATTCTCAATGATCCCCAAGCTGCAGGCCATGACGCACTTTACGTTCACTGCAACTGTTTCACTGCGTTTGTCTGAAAGATGAGAAACAAGCAGTCGCCTTATCTCTGCGGCAAACAGTGAAAAGATGCGAACAGAAAGTCGGTGGTGGGGAAGTTAAATCAGCCAATTACATAACTAGCCAAAAAAATGAAAGAGGGCCATTTTTGTCACTAGATAACAATATAAACATTTTTAGTAACTGTGATATGAAATGGCTGCTATAGAGACTCTCTGAATAGACAAACACTCCGGCACATTCAGGCTGACCTGAAATGCACAGTGAGTCTGATCCAGCAGCCTGCTGTAATGTTCCCCTCCTCACTGTCCATTGTAAATTTTCTAAACCGTGGCCGGCATTCAAAGCACACCGCTCATTTCCAGCAGTCCCCCCCCCCCCCCTCAGGGCTTTCTAACAGAGACTCCTGTCACCAGGACCATGTACTGCAAACCTCGAGGGGTTAGCCAAGCCCAGCTAATTGTCCGTGTTGCATATTCGGAGCATTTCCGACGACCGAATTCAGGTGCAATTGGAGAGACCCCTTTTTTTCAATTACTATCTCGAATCTGATACCAAACCTTCTCGTCTCACTCAGCAGAACCCGTATCTAGATCCTGGATCCGCATGGAGAGATGAGGCCAAAGCTAACCTGGCTCATCTTAAGAAAGAAAAAGTGTCAAAGTCAGGTGCAATGAATAATTAATTTGAGGCGACATTTCATTGATGGCGGAGTCTGCTTTCAGAAACACAAGCCCTGGTCCGTCTTTATGAGGGGACAACAGGCACCACAATGGCACCTAAATCAGAGAGTCCTCCGGGACACGTGGCCTGACAGGGAAAGCGGCCTCGCTGAAGAATAATAATGTAGTGTGTGAAAGTGCCGCAGAAGGCAATGAAGGAAGGAGGTAGCAAAGAGGAGTGGAAGGAGGCAGGGAAGAGGAGTGGAAGGAGGCAGGGAAGAGGAGTGGAGAGTAGCTGAGGTATTTTTCAAGAACAAACCACCTTGGGGTCTAAAAACGATGCATCATCAGTGCAGGACAGGTGCAGAGCTGCCCTGCTGCCGTTAGCATCACAGAACTATAAATCAACAGGCTTCTGACGCTGGAACATGGAAAGAGCAGCGGGGGGCCGACATCTAGGAGGGGCGGCAAAACTTCTTGCCATGTGGAACAAAATGAAAGGATGAAAAGAATGAAAAGATTCCTGACGTAATGGTGACTGGTTGTGTTAAGGAGCAGTGCGGTGTCTGGACTTGAGGACGGGGATAACGGGGGTGAAGTAGTGGCAGGATTCAATCAAGCTACAAATCACCCGAGTTTATATAGAAAGATCCATAAGTTACGGTTACGCCTTCATTCGAAATGGCTGCCACTGCAGTTAAGATCCGTGTCTGGAGAACAGATCCAGAGTTATAACTTGACCCAGTGGTAGTCACCAGCTCCATTTCTTGACCACCATACCACCTGCTGCCATCATTTAAAAAAGTTAAGCAATACTCACATTTCTCAACACACAATTAAATTTGAGCCATATGGCTGTTTGCGTTTAATAGCTTCCCAGTGAAACAGGCGAGCCATCTTGGTGGTGGGACGTGAAATTCCAGCATCTCCGAAACCAGTAGATGCAGAGCTTCGGAATGTTCTGGGCCTGCCTGCACGCTGCTGCTGAGTCCACATCTGTCTATGATCACCTCAGCCTTCGTAACACGGGCACATTTGTTAGAGTCGGAGTTCAGGATGTATCTCACTGCAGATATCCACGTGGCTGATTGCGTCTGCTATTCCACTGCCATCTGTTTTTGCTCTAGAGTGCAGTGACACCGTGTGTTACGGCAATCAAACGCAGACCATGGGGTTTTCAGCCTAACGTTTATGGAGCCCCGTGTTGGATGGATGGAGTAGCCAATGTCTTTGAGGAGGTGAACAGCCTTTTTCTCCATGGCCAAACTCCAGCTGCTGAAAGCAATTTGGTAGAAGCTATGACACTAATGAGCTTAGTGGTTCCTCACCAGCGAGTGTCTGGGGATGATGAAGGACAGTAGCGATGGCTTCCGAGAGGGCACGCTAACGCTCCCTAATCATTCACGACGAACGGGAAAAATTCCGCCCTCATTAAATCGAAGTTCTTTAAGCTCAGCTGCCACGGCAAATATTAATGGGCTTACAGAAAATGCAACCTGAACGAAGCGAGTAGGAGGCCAAAATTCTTCAACCACCGTAGCCACAGTGGGATGGACATGATGGATGGCTGGATTCAGGTGACAGGGTTTACAGGGCACCTATCTAGTGCTGAGTGAGAACTGACCACCAACACAAAAGACGAAGTACCAGGGGCCCTCGAAAGACACTTTATCCCATCCATTTTTGGCTCTCGGTTTTTCCTTGAGCGTTCTGTGGATTGGGGACCAATCATGGAACTCAATGGGACAAGCTGATTGTGTGCCAGCAGTGTGGAGGAGTGTTGAAGGCTGAAGAAAAAGGAATCAAAAAAGGAGGGAGGAGAGAGAAGGGGAGGGCTGGGGGGGGGGGGGGGGGGGGGGGGGGGGGGGGGGGGGGGGGGGTGAGAGAGGGACATGGTGTCAGCTTACCATCAATTATTTAGCCTCAGCTCCGAGCACCTTGCCGATAAATTACCAACGCCGTCTCCTGTTTTTCAGCTGGCACTCCTCGAAGTGGCCAGCGCCAGGAACTGGAAATGCAGCTCGAATTCTGGATCTGATTTTGGGACTCGTCAGCAGACATGTCCTCAGGTCCTCTGAAATCCATTACATCCCAGCTTGGTATAGACCACAGAAAGCTGTTTTTTTTGTTAATCATCTAATGAAACTCGTCCCATTCGCACGTCCCAGGTGTCAGTAGGGCACCGTTATCCACTAGTTCAACGAACAGTAAACCGAGAAAACAGACTCTGTGGTTGCTGGAGGTCATCCGCGGGCTTATAGGAAGGTGTGTCCCATAACCGGTGTGGTTAAGTGGTGTGAAGCAGTACTCCAAGGGTAAGTGTGGAGCAGCAGTCAGTGTAGGGGCCGTGAGCAGTGCAGACATCTGCACCGGCCATTAGTACAGTATGAGAAACAGGGATGTAAACAGCACAAGGGCTGGGGACAGGGAAAGCGGTCAGACTAGCAGTTAACCCCCCTGCTCTGCTGAGACAAGAAGCCACCTTTGGTGAAACCGTTTTGTGTTCCATATCTTCAGCAGCAAAAATAAAACACAAAGACTTCTTAATCTCTCGAGGCCTGTATGGACATCACAGTGGGCTGGAGGGATCGGTGCTGGGTTATGATTCCGAACCGTTACTGTTATAACTTACACACCTTCCTTAACACCACGCCTACAACTACTTATCATGGAAATAGGCAGCCATTTTGCACAGGAATATATATACCACACATCAGACTTTATACCAGGGGATATTTAGCTAATTATTTTGGAAGAAGATCGATAGATGTCCTTGGTTTTCTCATAGGGTCCAAATAGATAATGCTTACACTTCACTGATAAGTTCTGTGAAATCCGTATTGACCGCAACAGTTTAAGACCTTATTTTGCTGTCTTATCCTCATGTCAGATCTCTTGACAGTATTGTTTCCTTTGTTGAAGTGCCCTTCAATGTACTGTACTTGCCGCAGAGGAAACAGTGACCCCTACTGGTCCACCCACCCTATATTCTGGCCCGGTACTAGCAGTTTGATGGCTGGCAGAGGTCGTCCATCCAAGCGCAAACCAATCCCAGCCTTACATAGCGTCAGGGGTGATGCACCTGCTGGCAATGAATTATTCACTCACATATTTAGAAATAACATGACTCTGTGTAAAGCAATCAACATAAAATCATAATAAACATTCAGTGTCCACCTTCGAGAAGGGACACGGGCAATGAGGCCAGGAGTAGGTCAGTTTGAGGGGGGGAGGGGCAGGATTAGACATGCCTGATGGCCACTCGGCGTGTCACATGGTCCTCGGGAAGTCGAAGGGAGGGCAGCAGGCAGGGAGAGCCGGGAGCTGACCGCCACACACAGACTCGCCGGCCTGTAAGATCCCCCATCAGCCTCCTGTGTCGGCCCGCATGTGGTCCGGTCGCCGCGCCCGGCAGGGATGGAGCCGTCCGCTTTGAAGCGAACCTGCTTTGTTCTGACTTTTCCTGGGCCGGGCCCCCTAGCAGCCGCGGCGGCTCGCGGACGCAAAGCCGCTTAATGGTACCTGCACTGCCGGCTTTGCCAGCGAGGAGGGAATTACAGCCAGTTAGCTGACTGGGCTGGGGCTGGGTGGCTGAGGGCAGGATTTGCGCAGTAAAAAGGATTATGGAAAGAACAGAGGGATATTTCTGTGGCATCTAATTTGGACAGTGGCTAACACAATCTGCCGTTGTCGCTTTTGTTTTGCGTGGGCTGTTTACGCATTTGCCCGTTTCCTTCTTTTTTTTAAGCGCGGGCATCGCTCAGGGTGAAGGTTAAACAAGAATCGCTGTCGGAGACAGAGACACTGCCCACAGACGGAGTGGACTGACCCTTGTTATAGATGGGAGATCAAACCAAGTTCTGTTTTTAAAAAAAAATGTCAGCTCTATCACCCCCCCTCAACAGTTGGCACTCGAGGAAAGGTTTCGGGCTAATCTCTGAGTCCTGAGGGCCACCCAGGGCTCACACGCGGGCCCCCGCATCACTCCCAGAGCTTACGGGGGCTGGGTGCTGAGCACGGCGCAACATTGGCTCTGGGGACGTCCCACCCTGCAGTGCGGGGCCCGCCCTGGCTTTTAATCAAGCCGGAGTCGGAATTTGAATCATTCATGAGACACATGGGCCTGCAAATTCATTAGGGCCCGCCTTCGCGAAGACGACAGAGGCCTCACTTCAAGATGAATTCATTTGAATATCGGGACCCGGCGAAGGCTAATCAGTTAATGTATGCTAAGTCGCTCTTTACCCCCCGCTGAAGTTCATTCGTCAGCCGACCAATGTCCGCACATCCTTAAAATGCGCTACAGATTGAGCTCTGATTAAAATCAGTTCATCCAAAATCCCATCACTTGATTTACTAAGGCAATTTACAATCCCAAGGATTCAAAGAATTTGAAAATGTGTTTTTCATTGCAAGTACTTCCACGCTATTACATTATGAGGCTGTATATACTGATTCCCTCCAAATTTTAGACTATAAACTCCATGACAACAGCACTTATAGTTGCAAATCTTCTGCGTAACACTGCTCCCTGGAAATTCCTGCCCACCTACAGGAATATCTTCCATAAAATCTTCTTTCCTGTTGTCTAATACATTGCTTCCAGCCTGAAATGTTGAGTGCAACCTCTGAGTCACGGACATGAAAGCTGAAGCATTTTTGTTCTTCCTTTTACTTTTATCGATGTCCTTTATAAGTAAAAATTAAACCCCAGCACAAAAACCAAAGCCAGTAGGACTGGCGAAGTCGCACAGCAAGGTCACAGCCCTGTGGAGAGAACGCTAGCTGCACTGTGCGTGTCTCACCACCAAAAAGTGGCAAACTATCGATTGTCATTAAAACAAAATGACACAGAGCCTTCTGCAGACAAAGCGAGCTCCTCCAGCCTCTCCACAGCTTGGTGGCATGGTACCACACAAGCTGCAAGCTGGCACTTCGGGGCCGACCCATTTGTGGGGGCAGTGAGGCTGGATGGACTCCACAGACCCTATGTGCATAATAAATTACAGCCCATGACCAATAAGCCCTCCCACTGGAGCCCGGGCCCTGGACAACTTCCCTGGTTTTCCCCCCGAGATGGTGAGCTGGGACCCCCGTATCGGGACACACCAGGCACAAAGCGGGGGCACAAAGTGGGGGCACACCTTAAATCGGCTAAATTCGTAATGTGCAATATATACATAAAACTTTGGGGAAAAGAAGGTCAATCTGGTTAATTCTGTGGGTCCGGCATGTGCGTAATAAACTCCAGGTGCTCAGCTCTCAGGAGAGATTAGCTCACGGCTGGTGTTTCATATAGCGCTGCTTCGGAGGAGTACGGGGGGGGGGGTGTAACGTACAGGATCGTCTTGGCTCTCCTCATACAGACGGATATATTATGACAGCTTCACTGAAAGCCGTACAGTAGCACTGCGCGCTTGGAGTGAACAGTTTTTAAAAATCAAAACAATGACTCTGACGCTTGGAGAGAAGCTGGCTGCAGACTTGATACCTTCTCATTTCCTGCGAAGGGGTTAGCATCTCGGCTAATCAGGATGACGAGACGGAGATGGAGACCTTCCAGATGGAGATCGACAAAGAGAGCAGGAAGTGTGCGTTTCGGACTAAAGCCGGTGACTACTGGACGCTGGTGTCCCACGGCGGCATCCAGTGCACAGCTACGGAAGGGTAAAGAATTCCTTTACGTTCTCTTCTTTACACCCATCTATTGTTGAATTACTCAGAGCTGCCACTGATTACCAAGGCCAGCTTGTAGCAAACCTAGAATATGTCAGGCAATGGCAGCCTAACACAGTGACATATAGTCCATGTGCACCTTATATGTGCATCTGTGACGACTGATTATATTTCAAGGGTTACTTGAATTTCACGCTCTATTGGTAACTCTGACCCAGTCACCTGACCATAACGATTAGGTCCTTATCGCTCAGATCTTATTAAAAGTACCGAATGCAAGCGTACTGTCTGAAATGTCCAAGACCTTGACAAGCGCCAACTTTAATCGAGGATATTTGCTTCAATGTGGATAGAGGCCTTCACATCCACTAGCTATGGTAGAGATCTCTTCCAATTTCTGGGCCATAAATGACCCACGTTAATGGTTTCCCAATGTGCTCAGCTCGCCCTTTTCCTGCTTTTGACATTTGTATGGAGCCCCTACCTTAATGAGCACTAACTGCCCCCCTTCTCCTCTCACGTCCATGACCTCAGGGCCGCCGACACCATGTTCCAGATTGAGTGGCGGGACCGCAGGGTGGCCCTCCGCGCCAGCAATGGCAAATACGTCTGCACGAAGAAGAACGGGCAGCTGGCCGCCGTCAGCGAGGCTGTGGGTGAGTGCTGGGGACCCGCCCGCAGCCCTCCAGTGCCCGCTCACCTTACGCTGGGCCTCCCACGTGGCCCGGTTAGATACCACATGGTACCGTGATCATGCTCAGCAAACCTTTATACTGCTCAAAATCTTCAGACAAAAGACTAGTGAATCATTTCGGCTAGCGAATTCTTGGTGGTATATAGCAAAACAGGAATCAGGCAGATCTGACTTTCCTCGACTCAAGCATGCAGACTTCACCCACAGGACGTGGTTTATGCTGAAGCAGGAAGGCACACAACTGCCCCCTAGTGGCCATACGCCCAGGGTTCAGTCTGGCATTTTGTGGCGCTGTGGTCTTTAAGGACCATGATCCAGCATGGTAGTCTATCCTCTAAGTTAAAGTGGGTAAATAAAGGCAGTGATTAGTTTAATAAGGTGGTTCAGTGCTGAGCTAGAGTGAAAAAATCTCCAGGTTCCCCCAGTACATTAGAGGATGTTGCTGGAATTATAGGAATTTGTCTCTATTCTGGTCATGGTCTCCTCTCCTTGATATTCATCAGCAAAGGAACTGGCACATCCAGACTGGTGTCTGTTACACAAGACAACAGGGCCTTTTCTAGTGTGCTGTTTGGTTATAGGTAGACCAGGGTCCATATAACCACCTCACATAGAGCAGAAATCCAGCGAGTATTCAACCTAATCTTCACCATCTGCCGCGTAACGATGTCCATTGATACCAGAGAATTGTACCTTCACTAGGAACCAGGTAGGTGGGCAAACAAGTACAGTTGGGGTTTGGGATGAAGGGGAAATGTAAAGTTGAAGACCAGCGTCAATATGTAAGTAGGTTGGAATTAGCCCACCAATAAGAGGCTGTCTTATTTGGCACTGATAAACAGATGGCTCCTAATGGGGGGGAGGTCACTGAGCTTGAGACTGGGGATCTTCTGGTCCAGGGTTACAAAGCCCACATGTGGACAAGCTGGGACCAGGCACTGACATCATTGACAGATCGTTATTAGTGATCCAGTGCTGACCCAACAGTGTCCTTGAGTCGCCAGCTGGAATCTCACCAGTGCTGGGAGGCATCCAGTCCTTGGGTTTTACAGTCTTCCACCTCTGTCTTCAGGAGAGGACGAGCAGTTCTTGTTGAAGCTCATCAACCGGCCCATCCTGATCCTACGGGGGGAAAACGGCTTTGTGTGCCACCACAAGAGCTCCAACACACTGGACACCAACCGCTCCGTCTACGACATCTTCACTCTGCATTTCAGCGACGGCGCCTACCACATCAAAGGTGAGCACTCCCCGAGGGACCCCGAGATGCCACCATGGACGGCACCTTGCTGAGATGACCTCCAGCTTGTACCATGTGGTCCTAATGGTCCTTCAGGTAGCGTGATCAAAGCTGACTCATTTCACAGAAAAACAAGAAACTGTTGCAACAGGTACAGCATTTGCACAGATGTGAGTGGTCAGGAAATTAACAATGTTATCTAGTTAGCCATCTTCAATTCAGTAAGGTGGGAGACTCTCTGGTCATAACCAAACAATCAATCATTAACCTCAATCTTACACACAAACTTATCAAACCTTATGGAAAAAAAATAAGTTTCCTGATGTCATAAACAAAGCTAAGAGCATTCGTGTTAATTGAGAATGACGTACTAACTGCATGCCGGAGACAGATTGCAATGTTTCAGTTATGAAAAAGCAGACTGAAAAAAAGAAATCACTCATGCCATAAAATATACAATTACTTGGAAATTAAGGACCTGCCCACAATATAGACGTGCCATATAAAATTTAACTAGCTGTATTTCCGCAGTAAGCCACCTGCACATTGCTCATGATATGCTGAGCAAGCGAGAAGCTTGGACGTTACAGGTGGTAGACGAGCCAAACTGACTTAAAGTATCCGTCTTTCAAACATCTCACAAATGCACATTCTGTTGATTAACCCGGTCAGCGTTTAGTTATGCCTTGCTGAAGTGCTGTCCGAGCTACATGCTTACAGATATTAGCCGACGGAGTCGCTGTAAGCGTGCAGTCGGAGAGTCGGAAGCTGACAGATACTGTTTCCTGCTTATGCTCTGTGTCACCTTCGTTTCAGGTTAGTCAGCATAGGCAGTGGCATTTGTGTTTGACTCTCACTTTAATTTCTGTTGGCACTGAAGCTGACTATGCTGCACTTTCTCTGGCCATGTGGAAGCCTGATGAAAGATGAGTTAATAAATGCAGCACATGTGGAACAGGGGAAGGGGACGCCATCCCCGTTAGCCCGGAGCCAGCTTATAGCGAGTGATCTTTCCTCATTCCCAGGTACCAACGGGAGGTTCTGGTACGTCTCCAGCAGCGGTCTGGTGTGCTCAGATGGGGAGACCCCCGAGAATTTCTTCCTGGAGCTGCTGGAGCAGGGGCGAGTGGCAATCAAGGGAAAGAACGGAAAGTACCTGCGCGGGGACCAGGGCGGCACGCTGAAAGGCGATGGCGATGCAGCGGACAGCTCTTCCCTCTGGGAGTACTGACCCCTGCTGGACACAGCAGGAAGTGGCAGTCGCTGGCTCAACCAACGGAACAGCACAGAGAGGGGAATTGGGTTTGACCATTCTCATCTCTGTTCAGCTGGGTTCTTCCCTATCAAAAGCAGTACAACTCAAAGAAATTATTCATATATGTGAATATACAGTATTTATATATTTTTCCTTGCCACAGTCCAACAAAAAACTAAGGTTAAAGGTTCAGTTTTATTCACACAGGCTTTATTTCAGAGCACATAGCCCAGGAAGCGATTTCTAGAAGAGCTTTAAGGCTCATCTGCACTTATTCCTGACAATAAAAGAGTTAATCTCCAGGCATTACATTTCCTTGAAACAATCTGAAAAAAGGGCTATTTGTAAGGACTTGGAAGTTATTTTTTATGTTTTCATCCACTTATATTTCTGTGGGGAGGAAAAAGAGTTTCTGATAAGCTTCACGTCCACTTCTATTGAAGAAATATGCAATTTAAATCAGAAGGTCATTACATTTTCCAGTCCTGATTAGGTGGTAAACAAGATTCAGGATATTATCAGTGAACAGTTCAAGAAGAACAAGCATCATTGATGATAACTTGGAGTCCTCAAGGAAGTATTTTGGAGGGACAGAACCTTCTGGTATAAAAATTGCCCTCTACCACCAAAAACATGAAAGGCCTGCTCTTTGAGATCCAGGTACACTGGCACAGAATTGTTTGAAATGTATATGGTGGCCAGACCATCATAATGTTTGAGATGAAGGATTTCATTAATTCATTAATCCTGCTGTAACAGACATGTCTTCCAAGTTCCTTAGTCCCCATGTGGCAATCTAAAGTCCTCAAAATGACTACTATGGTATACTGCCAAGGGGCTTTAACCGAGCTCCGCAGACCCTGCCACACAATTCCTTAATTTCGTCCCTGCTTACCCCAACCCTCTCCTTATATTGTCTATGTTTTGCCAATCCTAAAGTAACACCTTCCAAAGCAGTTTACAGTTAGAAGTTACAGTCAGTGTTGTAATAGTAAGCTTATCATACACTGGTGATGGACAAAATGACGCTTCCTGAGTCATTTGCAGTATTTTTTGACCCCACTAGATGGTGCTCTCTGTTCCAAAAAGGGCACACAGCATGCCCCAAAGCAAGCCAAGAGCACCATCTAGTGGAGTCAAAAAATGCAGCAAATGGTTCATGAGGGGTCATTTTGTCCATCACTACAATGGACTTAACATATCAGTAGTAAGCAGGATCTCATAAGATGTGGTCACCAGGATAATATATCAGGTTCCTCGGGAACATGAACCCTCGTACAAACTCCAAACGGAACCAGGGCTTTGTTACCCGAGAAACCAAAGCCAGTAGGTTGGAGTGTCAGTCTATTACTTAACAGGATTTCATTAAAGTTAGAGGCAAGCTAGTATTCTTTTGGAATATTATTGTCTGAAATTGTTATGGAAAGAATAAACCACAATAAACGTGACATTTCTCCTCGATCTCAGGGTATTTGGGGCTGTGTTTTCTTCCACTTGGCACGAACGTGCCACACTATGCAATCTGTTCATTAACAATAATTACCGAGATTAATTTCCTTTCTTCTTCATGCAAACGGTTATTTTACAATTCCAGTTATCCACAGGTGAATACGGTGCCACCTGTTAATTAGATTTTAAGGCCAGCAGGCTACATAAAGGCAGAAGAAATCCCATGCTGTGCAAGTTCAGCTGCTAATGACCCTGCCAGTCATGCATAAGGAGCCGATCTCACAGCCGGTCTTCAGCTTCCCCCCTTTTACATTAATGTTAATCGGTTTGACCTGGGTCTCACCATTGGATTTAAACCTCTCCCATCTCCTTCACCTTTCATAAACTAGTCCAAGTCCAAGGTAATCCTTATATGCCAATCTTATACACCATTGTCAAATAAATATATTACAACAGGTGCAAGGAAAAACCCATTTTGAAAACATCATAATAAATCATTATGCAAACCAATATTTTCACAATTTATGTTAATGTAGCTATAACAAGAAATAACCTATTGCTATTTCATTGGACTGTTTTCCCGATTTGAACAGATTAAATATAGAGCAGAAAAGGATTAATATATTAGCATGTGCTGCATACTCTGTCCAGTAGGTGTCAGTCTTTGCACCCTCAAAACTGAGGAAGCGCCATAAACCTCTCAGGAGAGACTATTTTGCTTATCGTTACATAAATGTTACAGTCCCAGCATTACATAACCTTTTACATTTTTCCATATTCCAAAAATTACATGGGTCACATAAGCAGCACAGTAACCAGACTGCGTGGATTGCAGATGGAATAGCAAAATAAAAACAGGGATAGTGTTACAGAAAGGGTCCTGCTGTAACAGGCCATGTAACAGCATGAAAGGGTGGCTAGATTAAGTAAAGTCCCACAGTAAAATATCCAGAGGTGTAAACTGGTATATTTAAGTCGCTGTGAAAAAAACGACAATCAAATATGAGCCATGAATTATTACAGTAGTATTCAATCACATCAGCACCTCTCTAGAAATGAAGAAGAATATGCAGAAGATGAAACGCTGCCTAAACCACAAGAGCAAACGTTCTGCAGATAAAATACAAGGACCACCCAGGGAAAACCACAGACCACCAGTCACAGCACCCTGACCTCAAGGCAGACCCATCGCACACGTGAAATACACAGCTGTTTGACTTCTGCAAAACGGTCCATCTTTGCAAAGACAGAGAGGATCATGGGAATATTTACATTTCATCTATACACACAAACCTTAAGGCTATAGCTCTAATAACAGACAGCAGCAATAAAGGCAGTACCTCCCCCAGAACGCTGCCAACTCCAATCCCAGAAACTCAATTTTATCCCTGTAAAGGGACTTCTTTAACTGACCCAGTAAATTCAGACAAAAAAAACTGTAAATGTCTGTAAATGTGTTCATTTATTATTATTTCAAATAATCAAGATCAAAAGGCTGAACAGACATAGTTACCAACAACATAAAAAATTTGGTACGTTAGGGCAATGTTTTTCGACCTAGCCCTCTGGGACTGCCACTCTACGTCAGGGGTCTCCAACTCCAGTCCTGGAGAGCTACCGTCCAGCAGGTTTTCTATCATACCCGGCTTCTGATGAGCCACAGCTGTTCTCAGGTAAATGCCAGGCATAGATGTGGCTCATCAGAAGCCAAGTAGGATAGAAAACCTGCTGGATAGTAGCTCTCCAGGACCGGAGTTGGAGGCCCCTGCCCTACATTTTGGGTCCCTCCCAGCTCCCTGCCAGATAGTCTACAATTTTGCTGCTACATTTTGGAGTAAAAACATGGACTGTCTGTGGGCCCCCGAGGACCATGTTAAAATACATTGTGCTAGAGCACTTCGTGTATGAAAGACTAAGGGACCCAGAGGCATTCCACAGCACCTATGGGTATCAGTCGTTAAGATGATCTCCAAGCGGAGGCACACCATCACCTTTAGGGGCTTCCCCATGAATGAACGCGGCGCCACGTTCTCAGATCCGGTATGGTGAAGACCGAGTCCTCCTGCATTACCCGCCTAGGGTCACCATAAATAACCTGCATGTGACTCACTGGTAAATCCAAGCCAAAAGGAGGCGGTCACTCCTTTTACGAGGACTGTGGTGACTGATCCCTGAACTCTTACCACATGCTACAGTGTATAAAAAATTAACTGCAGTTGCTGTCTTTGTGTGGTATATAGTCCTAACTAATTGTAATTGATCTAGTAAATCATGCCACAGTCTACACAACAGAATTGGGTAAACTTGTAGCGTATAATTGTGTAGTTCATCTTTTGCCCTGTAGAGGGTGTTAGAGGTGCACCTGTATAATTTTTGCCCACACAGGAATTAAGGGTGATGCTGTATGTCTTCACACCAGAAGGCAACTTGAGGGAGAACGTAAAAACATCAGCTTCGCAGAAGATGCGTCTCCATCTGAAGTTCTTCTCACCACGACCAGACATACAGCATCACCCTTAATTCCTGTGTGGGCAAAAATTATACAGGTGCACCTCTAA